CTATTAGACATAGAGGACAGAACAAAATGTATTTAAAAGCTGAAAATGTGAATTTTCATGATATTTAGCCTTTTAATGTTATTTTCAAAAAGTAGCCTGTCTTTCTTTCTTATTCCATATAACCATACTTAGTTTTGTCTTGTTCTTTTTGTCAGACTCCTTGGAGTGCTTCAGCTGTCCAGAGGATTTTTGGTCCAGCCCACATCATGACCACTGCATTCCTAAGAAAACAGAGTTCCTGTCCTATCAAGAACCTCTTGGTATTTGTTTAACAACCACCTCATTGCTGGGCACATTTATCTGTGCTGTTGTTTTGGGGATCTTCATCTATCACCGCAGAACACCTATAGTTAGAGCGAACAATTCAGAACTGAGCTTTCTGCTCCTAGTGTCACTAAAACTATGCTTTCTATGCTCCCTGTTGTTTATTGGTAGACCCAGGCTGTGGACATGTCAGCTAAGACATGCAGCATTTGGGATTAGCTTTGTACTTTGTGTCTCATGCATCCTGGTGAAAACTATGGTGGTTCTTGCTGTGTTTAAAGCTTCCAAAGCAGGAGGTGGAGCTAATCTCAAGTGGTTTGGAGCTATGCAGCAGAGGGGAACAGTTCTGTTTCTTACATGCATTCAAGCAGCTATTTGTGTTGCTTGGCTTGTCTCCTCCTCACCGACTCCTTACAAAAATACCCAGTACCACAATGACAAAATAGTTTATGAGTGTGCAGTTGGGTCCACTGTTGCTTTTGGTGTGTTACTGGGATATATTGGTATTTTAGCTACTGTTAGCTTTTTCATGGCCTTCTTGGCAAGAAATCTTCCAAATAACTTTAATGAGGCCAAGCTCATCACTTTCAGTATGCTAATATTCTGTGCAGTTTGGGTGGCTTTTGTTCCTGCCTACATCAACTCTCCAGGAAAATATGCAGATGCAGTGGAGGTATTTGCCATTCTGGCCTCAAGTTTTGGTCTCCTGGTGGCTCTTTTTGGACCTAAATGTTATCTAATCCTGCTCAAACCAGGAATGAATACAAAGAAGGCTGTCATGGGTCGATACACCAAATCATAAGCATTTTAAATTGCTATATATATATATATATATATATACATGTTTTTTTTTATTCCATTTGTTAATAATTATAATGGAGCATTTTCATTTGCTATTCCTAAAAGAAACAATCACTCTGAGAAGCAAACCCAATCATATTGTTGCACCACAATTGAATACTACTAAGTCCTTAACTCCATATCATAATTATTCACCAAATTTAAGTTCACCAAATTTAAGTTGTATTAGAACAAAATGGAAGTGGTTGGAAAACATAATTGTAACCACAAGGTTACAGGCCATGTAAAATCAAACTTTCTGCACGCTGAATGTAAAGGTGCAAAGCACAACGCTACCAGACCCTAAAGATGTATTCTCAGAGTAACTGTGGCTAAGTGGGTAGTGTATCTTAAATCTGAAAGTTGTGGCTTAAATTCCAGGTTCCTCCTGACATGTCTCAAGCTCATTTAATAATGAATACATGTCAAGTTCTAAAAAGTATACTAGAAAATAACTTTATTTTCAGTCTTTGCCAGAACAGGAGATTGATATATTTATATTCACATGAAATACAAAATTGGCAACAGTTAGGGGTTTATTACTGGTGTCAAAATCGGTCTCCTGTGCTATGTGCACACACCGTTATGATTTTCCGCTTCCATCCAGAGCAGGGATTCAAGAAGTGGGGGTGGTGAGAGACCAAGTGTTGGGTCATCAAATTGTTTTCACAATTACTGTTGATCCCTGAGGATAATGGAGCACCGAAACATGTCATGAAATACAAAGGTCTTATTGTCCCATGAAATAGGTGGATGTAACATGTTTTTGTTTATCTTTTACATGATTCCAACATTAAATAGACCATAAAAATGTGAATGAACCTTGAATTAAAAATGCATTAAAATTGCTGAACTAGAAAATAATATGTCATTTAAAATATATTTATGTAAAAATTAGTATGATTACCTAATTATATTTATTTTTAGGGGTTAACACAAGCTAGAATGTTTGGAAAACCCTGATCTAGATAACAGTTTAGGGTGTAATATGATGTGGTAGAGTGAAAAGAACACCACATTTCTCGAATCTTCATTTTAATTTTTATGTTCTATGTTCTGGTTATAGTGGCCTTACTGATGCATAACAGGTCAGAAATGTCTTTATCATTGAGTTTCCATGCCTCACTGAATAACCGTATAAATATGTGCCAATCAACTGATTCAAGAAATTCAAATTAAGAACTTTGACTCTAATTTGAGGTATTTCTCTCTAAAGAACAATTAATTAATCATAGACACATTTTCATATTTGGATCCAAAGGTTTCCTTTTTTTTTAATTACATGAACCCAAATGTAAAAGGGCAGAAAAATCCACCATTGAACAACCATGTATTGTTTACAAAAAATGGGGGGAAAAACTTCATATTTGCTCCATAGCTTAAAATAGAAATAAACCCCCTTTATGATACATATGAATATCTATTTAATTGAAATTTTCACCTTAAAAATGCATTGGGTATTGATGTGGTCTTACATTAAAATGTAAAGAGTTAGGTTAATAAAATATCTCTTAAAGTTATTCTGTGTACATGCAGTTTCTAAATTGAATTGCAATTGAAGTCCTGCCTACTTTTCTTCCTCTACCCTCATTGGTGAGACGTGAGATGAAAAAACTAGTGAATGTCAATAAATGGGAGAGTGTAAAAATAAAAAAAGAATCTAACAACTGGGTGTAAAGACGGAGACATTAAAGTAATGTGTCCCTTTAAAGACCAAAGCTTATTCTTGCTACTATTACAGTTATTCTGTTTTTACTGTGCCAGTCCCCCTAATCAGTTGTCCTGTATTTCACAAGGACAGTTTAATCTGAATAGTATGCACAAAGCAGGAGATGTAATTCTTGGGGGATTGTTTTCTACTAATTTCTACTCAGTCTTCCGTGATCAATCTTTTACATCTGAGCCTCTGGATCCTACCTGCTATGGGTAAGTGTGATGGGCTGCAAAACAGTGTAAGCATTGCTTGGAATGATTTATATAATTTTAGAAAATGGGGGAAAAAAATATTATTAAGCATTTTGTCTGTTGTTTTAATAAATTAAACAGTTGTGATGTTGTTTTAGTTTTGACATTCTAGGATTTAAACAGGCCCAGACTATGGCTTATGCAATTGATGAGATCAACAGAAACTCTAAGTTGTTACCCAATATGACTTTGGGATACGCTCTGTATGATACCTGTGGGCAACTTGGAATTGGATTTCGTTCGGCAATGGCATTAATAAGTGGTCAAACAAAGCAAATAATATTGTATGAGAAGTGTAGGGGAAGCCCTACAGTGTTGGGGATTGTGGGGGATTCTTCATCTACACGCTCTATTGCCATCTCCAGTGTCTTAGGTTTGTACAGACTACCTATGGTAAGTTTTCTGCTTCACCATCCAAATAATATTTAGGATTGTTTTAAACAGAATTGTTGGTTTTGAAAATCTATCTGAGTTCCATGTGCATTTCCATTAGGTAAGTTACTTTGCCACGTGTTCCTGTCTAAGTGACCGTCAGAGGTTTCCATCCTTCTTTAGAACAATTCCAAGTGATGCTTTCCAGGTAAAATTGTTGCAGTGAGAAATGTGGTCTTAAAATCCACTTAACTGATTATAAAGGAAAATGAAAAAAAGCTTTTTTTTTTCTTGTAATTTTTTTTTTATTCTTCACAACAATTTCTTCTAACCCTCTCACTCTATTCCCATGAAGGTGAATGCCATGCTTCAGATTTTAAAACACTTTGATTGGACATGGGTGGGCTTGCTAATAAGTGATGATGATTATGGGCTCCATGCTGCCAGATCATTTCAATCTGCTCTTGGTCTGTCTGGAAAAAGCTGCTTGGCCTACTTAGAGGCGTTGCCATGGGGCAATGAGCCCCCAGAGCTGAGAAGGATAGTGGATGTGATTAAGAAATCAACAGCTCACGTGGTCATTGTTTTTGCGCATGAAAGTGTCATGATTCATCTCATTGAAGAGGTATCAATGTTTTAGTTAAGGAGATATGTATACGTTTTAGTCATTAGATGCGGAGGACCAAGACAGTCACTGAAACAAAAGGGGAGCTGTTTACATCCGAGGAACAATTTGGATTGCTTTAATTCAATGGCAAATATGCTCAGAAATTAAAAGGGTCACACAAAAGCCAAATGGAAAAGGAAAACTGTTAAGAGAATGCTTAGGGACCAGAAAATTCACAGGAATTATAAAAAGGAAAGAAATAGAATATGGAACTACAAATTGGATTTGAAAATGCAGGTTCAAAAAACTGAATGGAAAGTGGGGTTTCTGTCAGGGTTCTGCCCTCTGCTTGGGTTTAATTTTTTGTTTCTTTTTTGTCTATTTATACCAGTGCTGAGTTCTTTAGTTACCCTCTGCTGTCCCCTTGTGCTTGTTTTCCATTTCCATTGGTTTCCTCCTAGTTGGTCGTGCCCACACCTGCTCCCAATCTGCTAATTAGCCTGTCTTGGTTGAGTCTCCCAATATTTACACCACCTCTGGAGTCACTCAGTGCTGGTTTGTTGTTCCCTTGTTTCTGGTTTGCCACGTGAGTTTTCCTGATGCTTTCTGTTTTTTTGTTTTTTTTTGTTCTTAGTATTTTGGATTTTTGGATGTCTGCCTCATTTTATTTTCATTAAATCCACAAGATTAACCTCTGCCCCCTGGTCTCTGCATTTGGGTCCTAAACCAACCTCCAACCAACCATTGACACTAACCTTTTAAAATGTCTGATAAGGAAAGGTATCTACAATCAGATTTATGAAATGTGGATTTAAAAATCTCTACTTAAAAATAAGGATGTGAAAATACATTTTCTTATTGCAGTATTTGATAATGGATGAATACATTCAAGTTGAAATGTATCTATTATAATTAATATTTAAAATGTACAATCACAAAATCCTTTTCAAATTTGATTTTCTAATTGTATGATTCAAATGTTAAATTTAAAACGGTTGTATTTCATTTTTCATTGATCCTCCTGGTCCTCCGTTATTGGATACTTTCATGTAGAATAAAAATTGTTGATGTGATCTTACTAATATACTTATATATACTATATATATTTCACACATCACATAAAGGTATGTAATGTCAGCTTTGCCACATAATATAACACCAGTAATCACAGGTTGAGGCGTATAGTTAAAATAGCTGATATGACATTATTGTTGCTTATATTTCTTCCCCGTTTTCTGCAGGCTTTAGAGATGGCTATTGAAGATACATTTACTCCTCTCAAAAGCTTACATTTGATTTACTAATAATTGTCATCTGGGATGTTATTGGATCAGTCAACCTTACAGTATAATGCCTCTGTTACTGGATCAATGAGCAATACCCTTTCTTTTCTTTTAAAATAAATCTAGTAAGGAACATTAATTTACATACCGACATTACAGTAAATCAGTTATTTTTTATTAGATTATTTTTTATTTTTTTTATATGCAGAAAGTCAGAAATTAAAGGTGGGGAGACAAACAATTCTCCTCTGAAGTGAAGAACTTTAAAGTGCAAATCCATAAACTAAAGAATATCTATTAACCCAAAAGTCTATGAGTTGGATAGCCAAGTGGATAGCCTCAAGTACAGAACAATATAATTTACAGGAAAAATTTGTCATTACTATCACACTAATAATCTTTGTTTTCATATGTGTTTATAGTCAAAGGAGAAAAAAAGTTTGTTAATGACTATATAATTTGTTGGATTGCTCGATTGAAGGTCTGCTCCATGATGGGCAGAGGTTAGCTACAAAAATGATATGTATCATTAATCTAACTGTTATAATGAGGAATGTACGTAAAAGAAACATAAAACTGAATCAAATACATGATTTAACAGTACAAAAAAGTAGTAAACTTAAATGGTTGTATCATTAATACGTCCACTATGAAAATTATATTCTACAATTAAAGATAGATATCAACATTTTACTGTATTTAAATTTATTCTATAAATAAAAAACTTTAAATTTCATATAGTTCTTTATATAGAGTTTAACATTTGAAAGACTGTTTAACATTTTTTTTGTACACAAATAGGTTGTTAGACAAAACCTGACTGGACTTCAGTGGTTGGCAAGTGAAGCCTGGTCTACAGCTGCAGTGCTTCAGACCCCTCGCCTTATGCCTTATCTTGGTGGCACATTGGGCATCGCTATTCGTCAAGGAGAGATACCAGGCCTCAAGGACTTCCTGTTACAAATAAAGCCTAATACACAACAAAACAACACCAATGGAAATAGCATTGTAAGATCTCTTATCGACTATAGCACTTTCACAAGTAATACATAACAGTTGGTTCCTTTAAAACTTTGATCTATTTCAGGTAAACCAGTTTTGGGAATTCACATTTCAGTGTAGATTTGAACCACTTCCAACAGGCTGGCTTGAGAACGGGGGGAAAATTTGCACTGGAGAGGAAGATTTAAGAGCTGTAGAAACTGAGTTCTTCGACGTTTCTAACCTCCGGCCAGAATACAATGTTTACAAAGCTGTGTATTCATTGGCATATGCCCTTCATGATTTGCTGCAGTGTGAGCCAGGAAGTGGGCCTTTTAAAGATGGTAGCTGTGCCACTTTGGAAACACTTCAACCATGGCAGGTAAAAAAAAAAAAAAACTGGGTATGACTACCTCAGAGGTTATTTTTCAAAGCAATATTAAACCACGCTATGATTCCATTCATAAAATCATGACTGGGTATTCTAAATCCTCTTACTGTGTGAATGTCAGTAGGAGAATTATTAATAAATCAGACATTCTTCTTTTTGACTCTCCCATCGGCCCTCCATTAGCTTTTACATTATCTGAATAAGGTTAATTTCAACACTTCATTTGGTGATCAAGTGTCATTTGATGAGAATGGTGATGCTCTCCCTATCTATGATGTCATGAACTGGCATTGGGTCCCTGATGGAGGATGTAAAGTTCAAAATGTGGGCGAGGTTAAAATATCAGAATTCAATGGTGAACAACTTTCCCTGAATGAAGACAAGATCTTCTGGAATTTTGAATCCAAACAGGTAGTGTCTTCTTATTTTATTTTAAAGCTCCTAAAGTCACTTGAAAGAGAAATATGCACCTCTGTTTGCCTTACAGCCACCCCGGTCAGTTTGCAGTGACAACTGTCCTCCAGGTACACGTGTGGTGAGAAAGAAGGGGGAACCTCAGTGCTGTTTTGACTGCATCCCCTGCTCTGAAGGAAAAGTCAATAATCAGACGAGTGAGTGTTTATTAGTGGTGTGAATTGGCAAGAATTTGGCGATACAATATGTATCACCATGCATGTTTAACAATTGGATTAACCCCGGCACATCCCGATACATAAAAAAAGAAAATGAAACATTGCAGTTATCATAACAGCTCTAGAAAACCTTAAAAGTTCTTGTCGCTGCCCTGCTGTGGCTGGTGAAGAGCAGCTGAATTATAGGCTCTTGGTTGGTGTGCTGTAGACTAGTGGCTGATGGTTAAGAGTTATATAAAGGGAAGACAATGAAATGGCTGTTTGTTTATAAATATTTTTGTTTTCCATTTTAGATCCATTTGTCCACATATTTAATCCATACCGATATCATCTAATAGGGTTCCCAACTCAGTAACAATGAAATAAGGGAGACTTTTCACCAAAACATTATCTTCAATCCCATTGACATTATGAAGGGAAGGGAAGGGAAGGCAAGGCAAGGCAAGGCAAGGCAAGGCAAGGAAAGGAAAGGGAAGGGAAGGTTAACAAGCCTTTTGGTGGGGAACAATTTGAGGCATCATTGAAATCTCGTGTTTTCTGTAATGTTCAGGGAATGTTCAATCACACTCCTGCACCTATTGACAGTTATGTTGGTTCACTGTTTCTCAGCAAGGGATTTTTCTGGGACAGTTTTTTTTTTATTTTTATCCTTAAAAAAAATTAAAATGAGTATTTTATTTTACTAAATTATTATTAAATTAATTTTTATTTATCATACGTTTTTCAGCTGTGGTTATTTAAATGACTTGTAAATGATTTATAATTTTCTTTAATGGAATTATAATTTTCTTTAATT